TCAAACTTGATGCTACTCTGTCGAACTCTGTCTATTCGCAACATTAACTAGCTTTCCTGATCTACTTCAAAAGATGGACCAGAAATAGCGCTTTCTTACCGCAAAATGAAGTCCACTTTATACAAGGATTCTCCATTTCAGCGAATTGGTAGAAACATAACATTAAAATTCTTTCTTTGCTGTGATTGAGCATTGATTAATTGATAAACATCGCTTGTAATTTCTCCTTATCTGGCTATGGAGTGTTTGACTGGATGAAGCGGTGGACTTTTACACTCATCATATGAGATCCCCTCAATTATCGCCTTGACTCAATGAGCCTTTTTTAAGCTAAGGATGTTGTCTCATTGGAGAAAACCCGCGGGATCATAGTGATTCTCAGTGACATTCTCGGAATTTACATAATATTAATCGAGAAGTAGAGCAATAAATCATTCGAAAGCGTAACCCTGTGTAGATTAATCCGAAAAAATTCGAGTGAGTATCATTTCTACTAAAAATATTACCGAAAAATGTGTTGTCTGTTACGGCGACAAAACTATTCCAGTTATCGTGAAACCACCATTAATTTCGTGCCTTGTTCAGTGGTCCATTCGCACTGTTCATCGCTGAGCACTGCCCAACTCTCACGGAACTGTCGTTTGGAAACACCCTTTAGCGGGACGCGCGCCGCAGCGTGATACCCGCTATTGGTGGCCATCGTCTGTCCCTGCCGGAGTGTGTGGAGTCCTGGACGTTTTCCACTCGTGTAGCGGGCGCGAGTGACTCTATCGCTGTTCCTGCTATAATTGGGCCGATGCATTTTTTAAGGTCGCCCAATTGTGTCTTCTTCACGCCCTGCTCATGCCACCGCCTTCGAAGCTCTTCTGTTCCGTCGACGGGACTTCTAAGGTCTTGCCAAGCTCCTCATCAGCCGACACTAGGATGAGTAACCGTTACCTCCGCGGGGAGAGAGGGAGAGGCTCGCGCCATTGAATGGACCACTAGACAAGGTACGAATTTAAGCAATCTGATACATGTTTCTTAACCAGAATTTCACGTAGAACACGATTCACACTACGAAAATTACCGAAATCAACTTCTAACGAAGATATTAACGTTTTTATTTCGCACTGATCACGAGGAATTTGAACTGCCCGCTCACAAGAAACTCAAAGCTCTACGTGAGTCAAATCGCGCACTGCAACGGTTTCAGCAAGCTTCTCAATCGAGCAATGTTCATTTCCCACCATGTGTTGTTCAAACTATTGATAATTTGCTATAGCTGAGCCAAAGTGTCAAGATTGAAGTTGAAGATTTTTACATCGCAGAGACTGTCATGATAAACATTTAGCGCGCGATGTGAATCACGTAGAGCATTGAGTTTTCATGAGCGGGTGGTTTGAATTCACGCATCAAGAATCATTAAATATCTTCGTCAGGAGTTGATTTTGGTAATTTTCGTTGTGCATATCGTGTTCTACGTGAAATTTTGGTTGAGAAACATGTATCAGAATGCTGAAATTCGTACCTTGTCTAGTGGTCCATTAATGGAAGTGCTTTTATAGGTTATTTTAGTCGTAGGTAACGTCTCTGTAACTCTTGAAAGGCGTAGAATCACTGCGGGCTGATCATTGAAACTGATAGGCGAAGCGATGGACAAATTTGGCGAAGGGAAAATGGAGCGTTCCTATTGGTTGAAACGGGTGGTTCTTATAGACCAATAACTCTTAGGAGGTGTAGAGTCACTGCGGGCTGACCATTGAAATTGATAGGTGAAGCGATGGACAAAAAAGACAAAGGGAAAATGGAGCTTTCCTATTGGTTGAAATGGATGGTTCTCATATACGAAGGGTTGTATGTTGTGTACCAATACGGCAATCGTATTTCGTCTGTGACTTATAGTCTTGTGATATTGAATAGACATGCTTTTTCGTGTACTCATGTGTTTTCCGTCTCCGGATATTTCCTCAGATAATCAGATAAAACAGGGTAAAATGATGGACTAACCACAGGGTCTCTCGTGGGTTGCCGTTTGTCAGTCGATTATTTACCTCCTAATTTTGTGCTATTAAATAGACATGCTTTTTCCTGAGCTCGTGTGTTTTCCCTTTCCTGAAATTTCCTCAGATATTCAGATGAAACGAGGTAAAATAATGGACTAACCGCAAGGTCTCTCCTGGGTTTCCGTCAGTTGGTCGTTGGTCTATTATTTACCTCTTTGGTCGATTGCAACCACTCGCTTCCACCAATACGATTAACACATTTAACACTTTCACAAAAAATTTCGCCGCGATATTTTCATACTTTCTGTTTTGTTTTTATTAAATCAAAATTAATGTGTGCGATTCAAGTTTCAGAATCGCTGCATCGTTTAAACATCGTCCGAGTTTCTGAATCGTTGCAATTAAGATACATATCTATCCTTCAATTGGGGTAAAACCCGAGTAGGGGCTGTCAGAAGAAAATACGCGTGGACCTACTTTTTCGGCGACTTTATCGCCGCGAATAAGCCAGGGAAGGGAGTGCGGTCAAGTGTCGACTGTCGAGTCATCATCCTCACAGGTGATGCGCCTTCAATCCAGCAAGCGACAATGTGCCTACACCGGTAATCGAATAGTTATCGCAAATAACCCTCGCATTGCGTCTGGTGCAATACGAGAAGTATTCATGCGATCTTGTAGGCGCTAACATGCGCTTGACGCCGACCGCACTGTTTGGCGCAATGCATGAAGTATTCCCGCAGTCTTGCAGGCGCTGATATGAGTTTGACGTCGACCGCACCGTGTTTGGCGTGATTATTCGAACTCGCGTTAGGATAATCGCAGCATCGAACAATGGGGCTTAATAGGCCCATGTTGTGTTTCGGCTCTGTATGAGCACTCCAATGTTGGGTCGTTTCTCCCGATATAATATTTTCTCTGAGGAAAGTTAGGAAAGTTCTATATTTTCGCTTTTTTGGGGTTGAATGGACTGTTAAACAAGGTACGAATTTAAGCACTCTGTTACATAATTTTTCACCAGAATTTCTCGTAGAACACGATTCGCGCGACGAAAACTACTGAAATCAAATTTTGGCTAAGATATTAACGTTTTTATTGTCCATTGGTCACGGGAACTTTGAATTGCCCGGTCACAAGAAAAACAAAACCATACGTGAGTCAAATTGCGGCTTTAGCAAACAACGGCTTCAGCAGACTACTCAATCGAGCATTTTTTCTTTCTCACACTGTGTTGATCAAAGTATGCACAGGAGCTGAGCGTCAAGATTGAAGTTGCCATAATTCCATATTACTGAGACTGGCATAGTGGAGTTTGGCGTGCAATTTAACCCACGTAAATTATCTTTTCTTCCATGAGCGGAAGGGTTGAATTTATTCATGGAAAACGTCATTACCACGGTTAGGAATTGATCCAGGCTTAGGATTTCGATCCTTCGAGCTCGACGTCGAGGGATCGATATCCTCGTCTCCTATTGGTGTTCACACCCTGAGCCTGCAATCCTGAGATCGAAAGATTGTGGAAATTGTCCTGTTTCTTGTGCACTCATTTTTTTTTCAATCTTTTTAATTGAGAAAGAAGCTAACTTTATAGCTTGAAATATATTTATATAGAATACTATTTCAAATGAGAAGAAAAAAATAAAGATAGTTTTAAATAAATAAATTACGTTGAGTGTGGCAGGAAGTTTGCTTCCGCAACATCGCAAAATCCGATCCGGGGCTTCGCATTTTGGTCATCGATTTGTTTATATCTCGTTCAGAAGTTGATCTTCGAACTTCCCGTTATGTGAATACAGACAATTTACGTAAAATTTTGAAGTACGCTTTCACCGTAAATTCATCATCCACGGCGATTCCATCATTAGCTGACCGAAAAAAGCACCGAAAAATAAAGAAAATAATCGCGCATCTCCCGATGGGACGAACGGGATAACCGATCTCTCTGTAAGGGTGTAAGGGGCGCAGGGTCTGCTGCGCGATCCCTCTATTTTTCCGGCCATCGGGGGACCGGAACGGTTAAGCCGGCACCACCCGCCCCCGGATCGGCCCAGTGGCGTGGCGCGAATGATCGATTATCGATTTTTCTCCATTTGAAGCTATAGTAAAGAATCGATTATCAAGGTGTTCGTTGCCAACACCTTGATAATCGATCTTTTCCCATAGGTTTGAATGACAGATCTATCGATATATCGCAAAGCACGCCACGCCACTGGATTGCCCGGCGGTCCCCGCTGAATCTCGACCCAAAGGATCGGGCTTACGGAATTATATATTGTGATGATAATAATAATAATGATAAAATGTTTAAAAATTTAAGGTTTCCTGGTCCCCGACGTAAATAGCCTAGTTTGCTAATCGTCGTAAGTTAACTCATTAAAACTAACTAACTATAATGATATAATAATATGATATATTATGATTTTCTCAAAAATGTGTATTTTATCTAAAGAAACGCGGCAACACCTGAAGGTTCATACCCCGTTCTTCCTAAGCACGGCATTATATCTTATCCTCTCACTTGCTTACGTTTTAGCTGTCTTCTCTCAAAAAACTGAAACGTCATGCGAACTGAACTTAAATCCCACATTTATCCAATCGAACTACAAAAAATTGCATAACAGTAGCGACGTGACTGACATCACGCTCGACCAATCGGAAAACGGGAAAATCAACCGCCCCCACCCGTTAGCTCCCTACGCTTGTCGGAAGCAGATTTCATATTTATCCAATGGAACTGCAGCAAATTGCATAACTAGCGCACCGAAGAGGATGACATCACGCTCGACCAATCCGAGGACGAGAAAATGAACCGCCTTCACCCGATTGGTCCGAATGTGAGGGTGACGTCACGAAAGTCGCGAGGTGTGAGAAGTGAGATTTTCGCTCTACGGAGTCAATCAACCTCCAGGGGGGCTTTCTCATGCGCAGACGAGCGCGCCTTAAATGGCATATTATTCTTGTGAGCAGGAGGTTTTGAATCGCTCTTCCCACTCGCGCGCTGCGCGAGTGACGTCACGGTCGCGGCGCGCTGCTATTGGTCGAGCCCGTCGCGGGCTTCGCGCGAATTCGTCCGACTCGGATCAGTGCAGTTTAGTGCTTGCTCGATTAAGGATTAACTCACGCCACACCGTAACGTAAGTCCTAGTTTTTGTGTATTTTGCGGTCGTGATTAGGTTCGATTCCAGCAAACCGGCACACAGAGGATCGAGTCAGTAGGTGAGGTCGGACAAAATTTGGAAACTTTAAACGCTTATAACTCCGTTTCTATAAAAATTTGAGGTTCTGAAAGTGGTCTCATTAATTTTTTCGTAAAATATTCCTCTTAAGGCATCCCTTGAAATTTAAAATGTGACGAAATGAACATTAAAATTTGCAGTTTTAGTCGAAAATTTCAAGTCCGACCTTTCTAATTGACTCGATCCAATGTGCGGCATTCGTTTCCTTTTGGGAAAATACAAGTCATATGTGTGCTTTTATTTAAAAAAATGGGGTTTTAGTTAATAAGTGAAAGCTTTGGTGATGAAACGATTTAAAGTAATTGGTTTTCTCGCTCGCAAGAGGTGTAGTCGACTGAGTAGACTTTTTCCGGGTAAAATCGCACTAAAATCTCGTTCGAGGTTTCCATAATTTCTTCATTTTCCAATCACCTGATTTTTCTCTGACATTAAATACACTGACATTTGCAAAAATCGACGTTTTCCCGGACGAAAAGACGTAACTTCATTCCAAGGACGTAAAATTGACTCCAACAATTCAATTTTTTACATTTTTACGCAATATTTGTCCAAAAATTCTCTGATTTTTGTATGAGATCAGAAGAAAAATCTGCGAAATTTTCAGTCATAAATGCCCAAGATTCTTCTGGTAAAAATGCAATTTTGAGGGAAAATTTGGCAACATTGCAATTTATTTATGTTCTTCCGAGAGGGCAACCACGAAATATGGACGGAATTTTCATTTCTTAAGATTAAAATTGTAAAAAAATGGCACTCAACACTTGTTTACGCTTATTCAAATGGCACTAATTGAAGTTTCCAAGCCGACAAGCTACTAATACTATCCTTTCCCACGCCACGAATTCTCGGACTTTTCTATTTTCCAAACTGCTTAAAACCCTGCTCGTTGAGCACCTGACAGATATCGAAAATCTACTTCATTAGTACATTGTATGCAGTGTGTATCAAGCATCTTCAAATTCATTGTGTCAGTGGGCACTGCCCTCAGTTGCACTGCCAAATTCATTTCCCCCTTTTTTAGTTCCCCTTTTCCGTTCTCTCTTTCCGGAGTCTCCCGAAGAATGCGCGCTTCGGCATGCGAGTAAATCACTTTCGAGTTGTTATATTCGTTTCATTTTTCTGCAATAGGTCCTAATATAAGAAACTCAAATACTGTTAATGGTAAAGAAATACGAGGACAGTAAAGCTCTGAGCATCAATGCCTCACACTGCTTTTATTCGCCAGTTGGAAGGCTCGCGTGTGCGAAGGTATTTAACCTCTTCGGAATCATGTTCGGTCAATCAATTGGTTAGCTTTAGAGGCTAGCATGCAATCATAATACATACTGTGAATTGGACGTATTTCTATCAGACGGAACTATGTACATTATGACGTGAGCCCTGTTATGCACATATTCTTATGGGTCTCAGGGCTCATGGCTTAATGCACATAGTTCTGTTTGATAGAAATACGTCCAATTGTTAGGAAGGGAAGGGGGCAACGGCCCCCACCTCCTTCCTATACCTTCTTATGCCAATACTTCAGAGGAATTTGAAGTTTGTATCGACGGCTAACGTTCAAGAATGCGTATTTATATTGCAATGTTTCAAAATCTTCGATTCCTTCATTTTCTCCATAGAAAGCTAATCTAGACATTTTTGAACTCCACTGTGAATACTTTTGAGCTAAGTGGTGAAAATTCAGACATTTTCAAGAAAACTCGTTGCTTTGGTTTTTTTTTTTTATTTATTTTTTTTTTTTTAAGAAATAAAACCTGAGTGAAGATCTGCAATGTCGCAATGAGAGGAGGGATACGCGCATGTTTCGACTTATCAATAAATATACTTCTCTCTATCGATTAAGAAATGTTCGAAAGCCGGTGAAGATATTACCTATAACTCTGATCTCAAACACATTTTGACATTTATTTTAGGAGACAGTGATGTTGGAAATAATTGAGTCATACTTCCTATTTCCTCTTCAGTTTTCTCGTAATAAATTATGAAAGATTTAGGTCTAGAAGAGGAAGTAAGGTCTAAAAGGGTAGAAAAAACTCAGTTTTAATTTTCTTATTAGTTGCTCTTCACTGGATTTTCATTTGAAGGGAGTAGGGAACTCATCGGTCTCAAACATACGCACTCTTCAAGTCCGCACTATGTTAGATGCGAACCAGTGGCGTGGTGTGCTTTGCGATATATCGATTGATCTGCCATTTAAACCCATGAAAAAGGATCGATAAACAGATTGTTCGCAACGAACACCTTAATAATCGATTCTTTACCATAGTTTCAAAAGGGGAAATATCGATAATCGATCATTCACGCCTCGCCATTGGATAACAGCACGTCCCGTTGCGTCGCGCATGGTGCCATGCGGGAAAGAAAAGCAAAACGCCTTCAGTTTTTTGCAAGCAACACGCACATCCAATAGACACGAATAGTTGCATCCAGGTGCTATTAACGTAACTTCGCCGGTAACAGCCCGTCGCGTCGCGAAATGTGTGTAAAATCAAGCTCAATTCACAAAACGGATAGGTTCATTTGAATGTCTAATTTGACCTACGATAATTTTAGTTTTTTTCACGAGCAGGAAGTTTGAATTTACTGTTCATGATGTAAACTACAAACGCTTATTTCTCATTTGTTGCTGTTTTTGAAAGGTTTTAAAATTCTGACTGATGTGAACGTTTTAGAAAATATATATACACTAAGTATTTATGAGAAAAAACAGTAAGAAGTGGCCCGAATACTGTATGTAACTAGGTGGAGAAATGGTGCTGGGCCCACTCTGTTTCGCGGGGGGAAAATTTTTAAAAAAAATCAAGGGGGTGGGGGGGCGTTAAAAAAATTTATTTTTGACTCTAATTATAATTTTTGGGACTTCTCGCCTTTGTCTTCCCCGCGAAATAGTGTGGACCTAGCACTATTTCTCCACCTTGTCACTAAATATTTATAGTGCCTGTTTATCGCGTGTAAATTTGGTTCGACTCGTTTAGATTCAATCAAAGACTTAAGCCTCAGATGAAGATTTCGAATAACCGCTCGTCAGAGCGTGCGGAGGATTACATAGTCAATTTTGCGGCTTTTGGTGAAAATCCGCCGAATTCATGACGTAATTCCGATCGATTGATTTTTGCGTGGGTTTGCTGATGATTCGCAATTTATCAGTCTGTTTATCGCGCAGTGGCAAATCTTCGCCCAGCATATGCTCCGAAGGTGTTTTGCTACCTTCTTGGTCGAGCATGATTGATCATTAAATGATGATTTTAACAATTTGCCGTCGCCTCATTGGTCATGAGTCATGACTGGCCATTTGATGTGTTAATTTCTGAGCGTGTCGTCTTTAGACAACTTACTTTGAAGGATCCAGAAATTAATCTATGACATTTGGAATTTATCAAATATCCGATCCAACTGTTCATATGGAGGAACATTGTCGATTAACATAACTCGACAAAACGCCTCTTAAATTCACATGACTCGATCAAATGTTTCGGTTCAGAGGACCAAAGTTTCTCGTCGTAGAAGACGAACTTCGGTTCAAGCAAATAAAATTTTGGTAGAAAATTGACGTTTTTGGTGAGTCGCAGTATATATTTTGGGTTTCCTAAGCTACACTGGAAAAAAAAACACATTGGATCTAGAGTCCAGACTCTGAAAAACATCGACAAGAAAAAGCACCCTTGATTCAATCAGAATCTAGCTTAGGTAAATCAAGAACCATGCCTTTTAATTTAAGCGGATTTCGTTTTGATTCAAGCAAAAATCCGATTGAATCAAGAGTATTTTTTCTTGTCAATGTTTTCAAGAGTCTAGACTCTAGATCCAATGTGTTTTTTTTTCCAGTGTAACGTGATGCCTCTGTAACAAAAAAGTGCAGTCACCCGAATCAAAAGTTCGGTGGGCCATAAGAGTCATAGTTAAATTGTTTGAAATGATTTTTTTCTTCGGCTTTTGAAGAGCGTTGTTGGTCAGTGAAATAAAAAATACTTTCTTTTTTTGGCGAGCGGGATGTTTTCAACAACAAACCAGAGACTCTTTGATTATCTTATTAGTTATGAGTTACCCGGGTTACTGACCATATTTCTTTTAAGTCGTGCGACTTCCTTAAAACTGAACGCATTTCTTTTAAGTCGCTCAATGTCCTTTAATTGACAGAATTTCTTTCAAGTCGTTCAATAAAAATAAATAAATTAATAAAAACTCCACTAACAATTGTGGGTGATCTGAGTGCGAAGAACCAGGGTCTGCTTTAATTTTGGAATTTTAATAGTGCCGCAAAGGGCGTTAATTGATAAAATTGGTAGATAAAGCGATAGACAAAGATGACAAAAAGGATATGGAAGGATCCCATCGGTGGAAGCGGGTGGTTGCAATGGATAGAGGACGTAGGTAATAGACTAGCTAACTGCAACCCACGAGAGGCTCCATAGTACTTCATCGTTTTCCCCCTAGTCTATAACATCCACTCGTTTCAGCCAAAAGGATATCTCCATCGTCCCTTTGTTTGCTTTTTCTATCGCTTTGTCTATCCATTTCAATAATCAGCCCGCTGAAGCAGCCCTGTGGGTTGATTGTTGAGTTAGTTCATCATTTACCCTCCTTCGTCTATTAGAACCACTCATTTCAACCAATAGGATCGCTTTATACGCATTGTCCTCTTTGTCTGTAGCTTTGTCCATCAATTTCAACCATCGGCCCGCAAGGTTTTATTTAAAATTTTTACGAGACTCTAAGTACCTACTGTTATGGTCATTTTTCCATGTTTTGTCTACACTTTTCGGTGTTTTCCCGATTCCTTACTACAACTCGCGAATTGCCAATGATTCACAAAACTTGGTGACCCTCTTGAGGGCGGCGCTGCGCCAAGTTAGCAAGGACACGAGGAACAAAGACCATAATTTGTAAGTTACGGTGAG